AGAATGAAACCGCGGCCATCAGCAAAAATAAACCAGTAGCCTCTACCAGAGCAAACCAGTAGCCTCTACCAGCACCCTCTACCAGAACAAACCAGTAGCCTCTACCAGAACCAGTAGCCTCTACCAAAATGAACCAGTAGCCTGTACCAGAGCAAACCAGTAGCCTTCACCGGAACCAGTAGCCTCTACCAGAATGAACCAGTAGCCTGTACCAGCACCCTCTACCAGAACAAACCAGTAGCCTCTACCAGAACCAGTAGCCTCTACCAAAATGAACCAGTAGCCTGTACCAGAGCAAACCAGTAGCCTCTACCAGCACCCTCTACCAGAGCAAACTAGTAGCCTCTACCAGAACAAACTAGTAGCCTTCACCGGAACCAGTAGCCTCCACCAGAAAGAAACCGCGGCCATCAGCAAAAATAAACCAGTAGCCTCTACCAGAGCAAACCAGTAGCCTCTACCAGAGCAAACCAGTAGCCTCTACCAGAACAAACCAGTAGCCTCTACCAGAGCAAACCAGTAGCCTCTACCAGAGCAAACCAGTAGCCTTCACCAGAACCAGTAGCCTCTACCAGAACGAACCAGTAGCCTGTACCAGAACGAACCAGTAACCTTCACCGGAACCAGTAGCCTCTACCAGCACCCTCTACCAGAACGAACCAGGAACCTTCACCGGAACCAGTAGCCTCTACCAGCACCCTCTACCAGAACGAACCAGGAACCTTCACCGGAACCAGTAGCCTCTACCAGAACGAACCAGTAGCCTGTACCAGAAAGAACCAGTAACCTTCACCGGAACCAGTAGCCTCTACCAGCACCCTCTACCAGAACGAACCAGGAACCTTCACCGGAACCAGTAGCCTCTACCAGCACCCTCTACCAGAACGAACCAGGAACCTTCACCGGAACCAGTAGCCTCTACCAGCACCCTCTACCAGAACGAACCAGGAACCTTCACCGGAACCAGTAGCCTCTACCAGAGCAAACCAGTAGCCTTCACCGGAACCAGTAGCCTCTACCAGAACAAGGAGCCTCTACCAGAACAAACCAGTAGCCTCTACCAGCACCCTCTACCAGAGCAAACCAGTAGCCTCTACCAGAATGAACCAGGAACCTTCACCGGAACCAGTAGCCTCTACCAGAACAAACCAGTAGCCTCCACCGGAACCAGTAGCCTCCACCAGAACGAAACCGCGGCCTTCACCATAACGAACCAGTAGCCTCCACCAGAATGAACCAGCAGCCTCTACCAGAGCAAACCAGTAGCCTCCACCGGAACCAGTAGCCTCCACCAGAGCGAAACCGCGTTCCTTCACCATAACGAACGAGTAGCCTCCACCAGCCGCCCGTCCTAGTCGCCCTGCTGCTGCGTATGCTGGTGCTGCCCCTGCTGCGCTTGGTGCTTGGCTTTGCTGCCCTCCGCGGCTGTCCCTTTGCTACCGCCTCCTCCTCCTCCTCCTCCGCCTCCTCCTCCGCCTCCTCCGCCTCCTCCTCCTCCGCCTCCTCCTCCTCCACCGCCTCCTCCTCCTCCGCCGCTACTGCCTGTGCCCCAGGGGCTTCCCGAGAGGGCGGGAGAGCTGGGGTAGTCATCGTCGTCCGCTCCGCCCGACACGGAGCCCGACACGGAGGCGGACGAGCCGGAGGCCGCCGATCCCGGCGTGCCGCCGCCACCGCCGCCCATGACCACCACCGCCACGCCGGAGGAGGCGGGCGGCGGGGGAGGAGGGAGAGGCGGGCCGGGGTTGCCGCTGTTGTTGTTGCTGCTGTTGACGGAGGAGGCGGCGACGGGGCCGGCCGTGTCGTGCTGGCTGTTCTCAAGGCGGGTGATGAGCCTCTCGTCCTCGTCGCCACACTCGCCCCCCATGATGCTCGGCTCGCCCACGACCATCACGTCCTGGGGGCGGAGGGGAAAGAGTCCAAGAGAAGGCCAAGCGTCGTCAGTGAGTGAGTGAGTGAGGGAGGGAGGCTGTGCGGCTGGGAGGTCGTTGGGAGCGTGGATGGGTGGGCACGGGGAGGAGAGGCACGGGGGGGATGAGGAGAGGCACGGGGAGGAGGAGGTGGAGAGACACGGGGAGGAGGATGAAGAGGAGAGGCACAGGGAGGATGAGGAGGAGGAAAGACACAGGGAGGATGAGGAGGAAGAGGAGGAGAGACACGGGGAGGATGAGGAGGAGGAGAGACACGGGGAGGAGGATGAGGAGGTGGAGAGACACGGGGAGGTGGAGAGACACGGGGAGGATGAGGATGAGGATGAGAGACACCAGGAGGATGAGGAGAGACGGACACACTCGCCCCCCATGATGCTCGGCTCGCCCACGACCATCACGTCCTGGGGGCGGGGGGGGCGGAGGGGAAAGAGTCCAAGAGAAGGCCAAGCGTCAGTGAGTGAGTGAGGGAGGGAGGCTGTGCGGCTGGGAGGTCGTTGGGAGCGTGGATGGGTGGGCACGGGGAGGAGAGGCACGGGGAGGAGGAGGAGAGACACGGGGGGGAGGATGAGGAGGAGAGACACGGGGAGGAGGAGGAGGAGGAGAGGCACAGGGAGGATGAGGAGAGACACGGGGAGGAGGAGGAGAGACACAGGGAGGATGAGGAGAGACACGGGGAGGAGGATGAGGAGGAGAGACACAGGGAGGATGAGGAGGAGGAGAGACACGGGGAGGATGAGGAGGAGGAGAGACACGGGGAGGAGGATGAGGAGAAGGAGAGACACGGGGAGGAGGATGAGGAGAAGGAGAGACACGGGGAGGAGGATGAGGAGAAAGAGAGACACAGGGAGGATGAGGAGGAGGAGAGACACGGGGAGGAGGAGAGACAGGGAGGATGAGGATGAGAGACACCAGGAGGATGAGGAGAGACGGACACACTCGCCCCCCATGATGCTCGGCTCGCCCACGACCATCACGTCCTGGGGGCGGGGGGGGCGGAGGGGAAAGAGTCCAAGAGAAGGCCAAGCGTCGTCAGTGAGTGAGTGAGTGAGGGAGGCTGTGCGGCTGGGAGGTCGTTGGGAGCGTGGATGGGTGGGCACGGGGAGGAGAGGCACGGGGAGGATGAGGAGGAGAGACACGGGGAGGAGGAGGAAGAGGAGAGACACAGGGAGGAGGAGGAGGAGCAGGAGGAGGAGGAGGAGAGACACGGGGAGGATGAGGAGAGACACGGGGAGGAGAGGCACGAGGAGGAGGAGGAGGAGAGGCACGGGGAGGATGAGGAGGAGAGACACAGGGAGGATGAGGAGGAGAGACACGGGGAGGAGGAGGAGGAGAGACACGGGGAGGAGGAGAGACACAGGGAGGATGAGGATGAGAGACACCAGGAGGATGAGGAGAGACGGACACACTCGCCCCCCATGATGCTCGGCTCGCCCACGACCATCACGTCCTGGGGGCGGAGGGGAAAGAGTCCAGAGAAGGCCAAGCATCAGTGAGTGAGTGAGGGAGGCTGTGCGGCTGGGAGGTCGTTGGGAGCGTGGATGGGTGGGCACGGGGAGGAGAGGAACGGGGAGGATGAGGAGGAGAGGCACAGGGAGGAGGAGGAGAGGCACGGGGAGGAGGATGAGGAGGAGAGACACAGGGAGGATGAGGAGGAGAGACACGGGGAGGAGGAGGAGAGACACGGGGAGGATGAGGAGGAGGAGAGACACGGGGAGGAGGAGGAGGAGGAGAGACACGGGGAGGAGGAGGAGGAGGAGAGACACGGGGAGGAGGAGGAGGATGAGAGACACCAGGAGGATGAGGAGGAGGAGAGACACGGGGAGGAGGAGGAGGAGAGACACGGGGAGGATGAGGAGGATGAGAGACACCAGGAGGATGAGGAGGAGGAGAGACACGGGGAGGAGGAGAGACACGGGGAGGAGGAGACACAGGGAGGATGAGGATGAGAGACACCGGGAGGATGAGGAGAGACGGACACACTCGCCCCCCATGATGCTCGGCTCGCCCACGACCATCACGTCCTGGGGGCGGGGGCGGGGGTGGAGGGGAAAGAGTCCAGACAAGACTAAGCGTCGTCAGTGAGTGAGTGTTGGAGGCTGTGCGGCTGGGAGGTCGTTGGGAGCGTGGATGGGTGGGCACGGGGAGGAGGAGGAGAGACACGGGGGGGAGGAGGAGGAGGAGAGGCACAGGGAGGATGATGAGGAGGAGGAGAGACAGGGGAAGGAGAGACACAGGGAGGAGGAGGAGGACACGGGGAGGAGGAGGAGAGACACGGGGAGGAGGAGGAGGACACGGGGAGGAGGAGGAGAGACACGGGGAGGAGGAGAGACACGGGGAGGAGGAGGAGACACGAGGAGAGACACGGGGAGGAGACACGAGGAGAGACACGGGGAGGAGGAGACACGAGGAGAGACACGTGGAGGCGGAGGAGGAGGAGAGACGGACACACTCGCCCCCCCCCACAATGCTGGGCTCGCGCACCACCACCATCACGACGTCCTGGGGGGCAGGGGGGTGAGGGTGCGGTGAGCGAGTCCGGACAAGCGACCGCTTGAAGGAGGTGTTGACCACCTTGCCCGGCACGCGCGAGGTCGCTAACATCTCATACAGAGACCCACAGAGACCCACACAGCAGGCATAGTCAGGGTCCGGGATCGAACCCATGATCTCCTGCGTACCAGGCGAGGTCGCTAACATCTCATACAGAGACGCACCCACAGAGACCCCGACAACTAGACAACAGGCGTGGTCAGGGTCCGGGATCGAACCCACGACCTCCTGCGTACCAGGCGAGGTGGTTAACATCTCATACAGAGACCCACAGAGACGCACAGAGACCCCGACACCTAGACAGCAGGCATAGTCAGGGTCCGGGATCGAACCCACGACCTCCCGCGTACCAGGCGAGGTGGTTAACATCTCATACAGAGACACAGAGAGACCCACACAGCAGGCATAGTCAGGGTCCGGGATCGAACCCACGACCTCCTGCGTACCAGGCGAGGTAGTTAACATCTCATACAGAGACCCATAGAGACCCACAGAGACCCACAGGGACCCAGAGACCCCGACACCCACACACAGCAGGCATAGTCAGGGTCCGGGATCGAACCCACGACCTCCTGCGTACCAGGCGAGGTGGCTAACATCTCATACAGAGACCCACAGAGACCCATACAGCAGGCATAGTCAGGGTCCCGGATCGAACCCACGACCTCCCGTGTACCAGGCGAGGTGGTTAACATCTCATACAGAGACCCACAGAGACCCACAGAGACCCCGACACCTAGACAGCAGGAACACCACCACCACCACGTGCTACTCACCGGGACACTACCACCACCACCACGTGCTACTCACCACCACCACCACGTGCTACTCACCGGGACACCATCACCGTCACCACGTGCTACTCACCGTCACCACGTGCTACTCACCACCACACCGTCACCGTCACCGTGACCACCACCACGTGCTACTCACCACCACCACACCACCACACCACCACCACCACACCACACCACACCACCGTCACCGTGACCACCACCACGTGCTACTCACCACCACCACACCACCACACCACCACCACCACACCACACCACCACACCACACCACCGTCACCGTGACCGCCACCACTTGCTACTCACCACCACACCGTCACCACCACCGTCACCATGACCACCACGTGCTACTCACCACCACACCGTCACCACCACCGTCACCGTGACCACCACCACGTGCTACTCACCACCACACCACACCACCACCGTCACCGTCACCACGTGCTACTCACCACCACGTCACCGTGACCAGCACCACGTGCTACTCACCACGTCACCACGTGCTACTCACCACCACTTGACCACCACGTGCTACTCACCACCACACCACCACCGTCACTGTCACCGCCACCACGTGCTACTCACCACCACACCACACCACCACCGTCACCACGTGCTACTCACCACCACCACACCACCACCGTCACCACGTGCTACTCACCACCACACCACCACTGTCACCGTGACCACCAACACGTGCTACTCACCACCACCACACCACCACACCACCGTCACCGTCACCGTGACCACCACCACGTGCTACTCACCACACCACCACCGTCACCACGTGCTACTCACCACCACACCACACCACCACCGTCACCGTGACCACCACGTGCTACTCACCACCACACCGTCACCATGACCACCACGTGCTACTCACCACCACACCGTCACCATGACCACCACGTGCTACTCACCACCACACCGTCACCGTCACCGTGACCACCACCACGTGCTACACACCACCACACCACCACCGTCACCATGACCACCACGTGCTACTCACCACCACACCACACCGTCACCGTCACCGTGACCACCACCACGTGCTACACACCACCACACCACACCACCACTGCCACCGTCACCACGTGCTACTCACCACCACGTCACCGTGACCACCACCACGTGCTACTCACTGTCACCACGTGCTACTCACCACCACACCAAACCACCACCGTCACCGTGACCACGACCACGTGCTACTCACTACCACCACACCACCACCACGTGCTACTCACCACCACACCAAACCACCACCGTCACCGTGACCACGACCACGTGCTACTCACTACCACCACACCACCACCACGTGCTACTCACCACCACACCGTGACCACCACCACGTGCTACTCACCACCACACCACAGTACACCACCACACCGTGACCACCACACCACCACACCACACCACACCACCACCACACCACCACCACGTGCTACTCACCACCACACCACACCACCACCGTCACCGTGACCACGACCACGTGTTACTCACCACCACCACACCACCACCACCACGTGCTACACACCACACCACCACCACCACCACACCACACCACCACACCACCACCGTCACCACACCGTCACCGTGACCACCACCACACCACCACCACCACACCACACCACACCACCACCGTCACCACACCGTCACCGTGACCACCACCACACCACCACCACCACACCACACCACACCACCACCGTCACCACACCGTCACCGTGACCACCACCACGTGCTACTCACCACACCACCACACCACACCACCACCGTCACCACACCGTCACCGTGACCACCACCACGTGCTACTCACCACCACACCACACCACCACCACGTACTACTCACCACCACACCACACCACCACCGTCACCGTGACCACCACCACGTGCTACACACCACACCACCACCGTCACCACACCGTCACCGTCACCGTGACCACCACCACGTGCTACTCACCACACCACCACCACCACGTGCTACTCACCACCACCACCACCACCACGTGCTACTCACCACACCACCACCACCACGTGCTACTCACCACCACCACCACCACGTGCTACACACCACACCACACCACCACCACGTGCTACTCACCACCACCACCACCACGTGCTACTCACCACACCACCACCACCACGTGCTACTCACCACCACCACCACCACGTGCTACTCACCACACCACCACCACCACGTGCTACTCACCACCACCACCACCACGTGCTACTCACCACCACCACCACCACGTGCTACTCACCACCACCACCACCACCACGTGCTACTCACCACACCACCACCACCACGTGCTACTCACCACCACCACCACCACGTGCTACTCACCACACCACCACCACCACGTGCTACTCACCACCACCACCACCACGTGCTACTCACCACACCACCACCACCACGTGCTACTCACCACCACCACCACCACGTGCTACTCACCACACCACCACCACCACGTGCTACTCACCACCACCACCACCACGTGCTACTCACCACACCACCACCACCACGTGCTACTCACCACCACCACCACCACGTGCTACTCACCACACCACACCACCACACCACCACCACCACCACGTGCTACTCACCACACCACACCACCACACCACCACCACCACCACGTGCTACTCACCACCACCACACCACCACACCGTCACCACCGTCACCACCACGTGCTACTCACCACACCACCACCACCACGTGCTACTCACCACCACCACCACCACGTGCTACTCACCACACCACCACCACCACGTGCTACTCACCACCACCACCACCACGTGCTACTCACCACCACCACACCACCACACCGTCACCACCGTCACCACGTGCTACTCACCACACCACCACCACCACGTGCTACTCACCACCACCACCACCACGTGCTACTCACCACACCACCACCACCACGTGCTACTCACCACCACCACCACCACGTGCTACTCACCACCACCACACCACCACACCGTCACCACCGTCACCACGTGCTACTCACCACCACACCACCACCACACCACACCACCACCACACCACCACCACCACTACCACACCACCACACCGTCACCACCGTCACCACGTGCTACTCACCACCACACCACACCACACCACCACCACACCACCACCACCACACCACCACACCACCACCGTCACCACACCACACCACCACCACCACCACGTGCTACTCACCGGCACCTGTCCCGTGATGCTGAAGCCGCCTATGGTGGGGGGGGGGCTTCTTCTTGCCGCTGGTGAGCGCCGTCCCGTTGGGCCCCCCCCCCCGCGGCAGGGCCCCCTCCCCCCCCCTCCCCCCCCCTGCTGCTGCTGCTGCTGCTGCTGTTGATGTTGTTGATGTTGTTGTTGTTGTTGTTGATGCTTCCCTTTCCGCTTCTTGTTGGCTGGGGGCCTGGAGGGTTCCACTGCCGTGTTTAGAGACAGGAAGCGTGGGGGGGGGGGGTGGGGGGGGGGTGGTGGGTGGGGGTGGTGGGTGGGGGTGGGGGTGGGGGGGAGAGAGTGGGGGGGTGGAGGGGGGTGAGAGGGGTACACAGACACACGGCCATTATGAACCCCCTTAAAGACGCACGTACGGACGCTTGTACACACACAGCGAGTGGTGGGGGTGGTGGTGGTGGTGGTGGGAGTTGGTGAGGGGAGTGAGTGAGTGTATGAGTGAGTGTATGAGTGAGTGTATGAGTGAGTGTATGAGTGAGTGTATGAGTGAGTGTATGAGTGAGTGGGTGGGTGAGTGAGTGTATGAGTGAGTGGGTGGGTGAGTGAGTGTATGAGTGAGTGTATGAGTGAGTGAGTGTATGAGTGAGTGTATGAGTGAGTGAGTGTATGAGTGAGTGTATGAGTGAGTGAGTGTATGAGTGAGTGTATGAGTGAGTGAGTTTATGAGTGAGTGTATGAGTTTATGAGTGAGTGTATGAGTGAGTGTATGAGTGTATGAGTGAGTGTATGAGTGAGTGTATGAGTGAGTGTATGAGTGAGTGAGTGTATGAGTGAGTGTATGAGTGTGTGTATGAGTGAGTGAGTGAGTGTATGAGTGAGTGTATGAGTGAGTGAGTGTATGAGTGAGTGTATGAGTGAGTGTATGAGTGAGTGAGTGAGTGTATGAGTGAGTGTATGAGTGAGTGAGTGTATGAGTGAGTGAGTGTATGAGTGAGTGTATGAGTGAGTGTATGAGTAGGTGAGTGAGTGTATGAGTGAGTGAGTGTATGAGTGAGTGTATGAGTGAGTGTATGAGTGAGTGTATGAGTTAGTGAGTGTATGAGTGAGTGAGTGTGTGAGTGAGTGTATGAATGAGTGTATGAGTGAGTGAGTGTATGAGTGAGTGTATGAGTGAGTGTATGAGTGAGTGTATGAGTGAGTGTATGAGTGAGTGCATGATTGAGTGAGTGTATGAGTGAGTGCATGAGTGAGTGTATGAGTGAGTGAGTGACTGAGTGAGTGAGTGACTGAGTGAGTGACTGAGTGTATGAGTGAGTGACTGAGTGAGTGAGTGAGTGACTGAGTGAGTGGCTTAGTGAGTGAGTGACTTAGTGAGTGAGTGACTTAGTGACTGAGTGAGTGAGTGTATGAGTGAGTGAGTGACTTAGTGAGTGACTTAGTGAGTGAGTGAGTGAGTGAGTGTATGAGTGAGTGAGTGTATGAGTGAGTGAGTGTATGAGTGAGTGAGTGTATGAGTGAGTGAGTGTATGAGTGAGTGTATGAGTGAGTGTATGAGTGAGTGTATGAGTGAGTGTATGAGTGAGTGCATGATTGAGTGAGTGTATGAGTGAGTGCATGAGTGAGTGTATGAGTGAGTGAGTGACTGAGTGAGTGAGTGACTGAGTGAGTGACTGAGTGTATGAGTGAGTGACTGAGTGAGTGAGTGAGTGACTGAGTGAGTGGCTTAGTGAGTGAGTGACTTAGTGAGTGAGTGACTTAGTGACTGAGTGAGTGAGTGTATGAGTGAGTGAGTGACTTAGTGAGTGACTTAGTGAGTGAGTGTATGAGTGAGTGAGTGTATGAGTGAGTGAGTGTATGAGTGAGTGTATGAGTGAGTGTATGAGTGAGTGAGTGTATGAGTGAGTGTATGAGTGAGTGTATGAGTGAGTGTATGAGTGAGAGAGTGTATGAGTGAGTGTATGAGTGAGTGTATGAGTGAGTGAGTGTATGAGTGACTGAGTGAGTGAGTGACTGAGTGAGTGACTGAGTGAGTGACTGAGTGAGTGAGTGACTGAGTGAGTGACTGAGTGACTGAGTGAGTGACTGAGTGAGTGACTGAGTGAGTGACTGAGTGAGTGAGTGACTGAGTGAGTGTATGAGTGACTGAGTGACTGACTGAGCACACACCTGGCGGAGCGATCATGCGCTGCCACTTCTGGAAGAGGCATGTCTTGAGGCAGTCACGTGGACTCAGGTTGTACGTCTTGTGTCTGGCCATGAGCTCTTGCATCGGCTCCAGGATCACGCACAGCTGGTAGCACGCACACAGTACATACAGTACAACATAAGTACACACAGTACATACAGTACATACAGTGCATGCAGTGCATACAGCACATACAGTACACACAGCACATACAGTACATGCAGTGCATACAGCGCACACAGTACACACAGCACACACACACAGTACACACACACAGTACACAGTACACACACAGTACACACAGAGTACACAGTACACACACACAGCACACAAACACAGTACACACAGTACACACACACAGTACACACACAGTACACACACAGTACACACAGAGTACACAGTACACACACACAGTACACACACAATACACACACAGTACACACACAGTATACACACAGTACACACAGAGTACACAGTACACACACAGTACACACACAGTACACACAGTACACACACACACAGAGTACACAGTACACACACAGTACACACACAGTACACACACACAGTACACACACACAGTACACACACACAGTACACACAGAGTACACAGTACCCACACAGTACACACACAGTACACACACACAGTACACACACACAGTACACACACAGTACACAGTACACACTGTACACAGTACACACACAGTACACACACACAGTACACACACAGCACATACAGTACACACAGTACATACAGTACACACACAGTACAGTACACACACAGTACATACACAGCACACACAGTACACACACAGCACACACAGCGCGTACAGTACATACAGTGCACACAGTACATACAGTGCATACAGTGCACATGTTGCATACCGTACATACAGTGCATACAGTGTGCATACGGTACACACCGTACATACAGTGCATACAGTGCACACAGTGCACACACAGTACACACACAGTACAGACACAGCACACACACAGTACATACAGTACACACACAGTACACACACAGTAAACAGTACACACACAGTACACAGTACACACACAGTACACAGTACACACACAGTACACACAGTACATACAGTGCATACAGTACACACAGCACACACAGCACACACAGTGCATACAGTACACACATTGCATACAGTACATACAGTGCATACAGTGCGCACAGTACACACAGTGCATACAGTGCATAGAGTGCACACAGTGCACACACACAGTACACACACACAGTACACACACAGTACACACACAGTACATACAGTACACACAGTACATACAGTACACAGCACGCACACACAGTACACACAGTACATACAGTACACACACAGTACACAGTACACACACAGTACACACACAGCACACACACAGTACACACACAGTACATACACAGCACACACACAGTACACACACAGTACATACAGTAGACACACAGCACACACACAACACACACAGTACACACACAGCACACACACAGCACACACACAGTACACACACAGTGTACACACAGTACACACACAGTACACACACAGTACACACACACACAGAGTACACAGTACACACACAGTACACACACACAGTACACACAGAGTACACAGTACCCACACAGTACCCACACAGTACACACACACAGTACACACACACAGTACACACACACAGTACACACACAGTACACAGTACACACTGTACACAGTACACACACAGTACACACTGTACACAGTACACACACACAGTACACACACAGCACATACAGTACACACAGTGCACACAGTACATACAGTACACACACAGTACACAGTACACACACAGCACACACACAGTGCATACAGTACATACAGTGCACACAGTACATACAGTGCATACAGTGCACATGTTGCATACAGTGCATACAGTGCATACAGTGTGCACACGGTACACACCGTACATACAGTGCATACAGTGCACACAGTGCACACACAGTACACACACAGTACATACAGTACACACACAGTACACACACAGTAAACAGTACACACACAGTACACAGTACACACACAGTACACACAGTACATACAGTGCATACAGTACACACAGCACACACAGTGCATACAGTACACACATTGCATACAGTACATACAGTGCATACAGTGCGCACAGTACACACAGTGCATACAGTGCATAGAGTGCACACAGTGCACACACACAGTACACACACACAGTACACACACACAGTACACACAGTACATACACAGTACACACACAGCGCACACACAGTACACACACAGTACATACAGTACACACAGTACATACAGTACACAGCACGCACACACAGTACACACAGTACATACAGTACACACACAGTACACACACAGTACACACACAGCACACACAGCACACACACAGTACACACACAGTACATACACAGCACACACACAGTACACACACAGTACATACAGTAGACACACAGCACACACACAACACACACAGTACACACACAGCACACACACAGCACACACACAGTACACACACAGTGTACACACAGTACACACACAGTACACACACAGTACACACACAGTACACACACACAGTACACACACACAGTACACACAGAGTACACAGTACCCACACAGTACCCACACAGTACCCACACACAGTACACACACACAGTACACACACACAGTACACACACAGTACACACTGTACACAGTACACACACACAGTACACACACACAGTACACACACAGCACATACAGTACACACAGTACACACAGTACACACACAGTACAGTACACACACAGTACATACACAGCACACACAGTACACAGTACACACACAGCACACACAGTGCATACAGTACATACAGTGCACACAGTACATACAGTGCATACAGTGCACATGTTGCATACAGTACATACAGTGCATACAGTGTGCACACGGTACACACCGTACATACAGTGCATACAGTGCACACACAGTACACACACAGTACAGACACAGTACACACACAGTACATACAGTACACACACAGTACACACACAGTAAACAGTACACACACAGTACACAGTACACACACAGTACACACAGTACATACAGTACACACAGCACACACAGCACACACAGTGCATACAGTACACACATTGCATACAGTACATACAGTGCATACAGTGCGCACAGTACACACAGTGCATACAGTGCATAGAGTGCACACAGTGCACACACACAGTACACACACAGTACACACACAGTACACACACAGTACATACAGTACACACAGTACATACAGTACACAGCACGCACACACAGTACACACAGTACATACAGTACACACACAGTACACAGTACACACACAGTACACACACAGCACACACAGCACACACACAGTACACACAGTACATACACAGCACACACACAGTACACACACAGTACATACAGTAGACACACAGCACACACACAACACACACAGTACACACACAGCACACACACAGCACACACACAGTACACACAAGTACACACAGTACACACACAGTACACACACAGCACACACACAGCACACACACAGTACACACAAGTACACACAGTACACACACAGTACATACACAGTACACACACAGTACACACACAGTACACACACACAGTACACAGTGTACACACAGTACACACACAGTACACACACAGTACACAGTACACACACAGTACACACACAGCACACACACACAGTACACACAGTACACAGACAGTACACACACAGTACACAGTACACACACAGTACACACACACAGTATACACAGTACACACACACAGTACACACACTACACACACAGTATACACACAGCACACACACACAGTACACACACACAGTACACACACACAGTACACACACACAGTATACACAGTACACACACAGCACACACACAGTACACACACAGTACACACACACAGTACACACACAGTACACACACAGCACACACACAGTACACACACAGTACACACACGGTACATACACGGTACACACACGGTACACAGTACACACACAGTACACACACAGTACACACATTACACACACAGTACACACACAGTACATACACAGTACATACACAGTACACACACGGTACACAGTACACACACAGCACACACACAGTACACACACAGTACACACATTACACACACAGTATACACACAGTACACACACAGTACACACAGCACACACACAGTACACACAGCACACACACAGTACACACACAGTATACACAGTACACACACAGTACATACACAGTACACACACAGTACACACACAGTACACACATTACACACACACAGTATACACACAGTACACACACACAGTACACACACAAAGTACACACACAGTACACACACAGTACACACACAGTACACGGTACACACACAGTACACACACAGTACACACACACAGTACACACACACAGTACACACACACAGTACACACACACAGTACACACACAGTACACACAGTACACATAGTACACAGTATACACACACAGTACACACACAGTACACACACAGTACACACACACAGTATACACACAGTACACACACACAGTACACACACAAAGTACACACACAAAGTACACACACAGCACACACACAGTACACAGTACACACACAGCACACACACACAGTACACACACAGTACACACACACAGCACACACAGTACACACACACAGTACACACACACAGTACGCAAAGTACACACACAGTACACAGTGTACACACAGTACACACACAGCACACAGTACACACTGCACACACACACAGCACACACACAGTACACACACAGTACATACACAGTACACACACAGTACACACACAGTACACACACACAGTATACACAGTACACACACACAGTACACACACTACACACACAGTATACACACAGCACACACACACAGTACACACACACAGTACACACACACAGTACACACACACAGTATACACAGTACACACACAGCACACACACAGTACACACACAGTACACACACACAGTACACACACAGTACACACAGCACACACACAGTACACACACAGTACACACACAGTACATACACGGTACACACACGGTACACAGTACACACACAGTACACACACAGTACACACACAGTACACACATTACACACACAGTACACACACAGTACATACACAGTACATACACAGTACACACACGGTACACAGTACACACACAGCACACACACAGTACACACACAGTACACACATTACACACACAGTATACACACAGTACACACACAGTACACACAGCACACACACAGTACACACAGCACACACACAGTACACACACAGTATACACAGTACACACACAGTACATACACAGTACACACACAGTACACACACAGTACACACATTACACACACACAGTATACACACAGTACAAACACACAGTACACACACAAAGTACACACACAGTACACACACAGTACACACACAGTACACGGTACACACACAGTACACACACAGTACACACACACAGTACACACACACAGTACACACACACAGTACACACACAGTACACACAGTACACATAGTACACAGTATACACACACAGTACACACACAGTACACACACACAGTACACACACAGTACACACACACAGTATACACACAGTACACACACACAGTACACACACAAAGTACACACACAAAGTACACACACAGCACACACACAGCACACACACAGTACACACACACAGTACACACACACAGTACACACACATTACACACACACACATTACACACACACATTACACACACATTACACACACACACAGTACACACACAGTTTACACACAGTCCACACACAGTCCACACACAGTACACACACAGTACACACACACAGAACACACACAGTACACACACAGTACACACACAGTACACACAGAGTACACAGTACACAGTATACACACACAGTACACACACAGTACACACAGAGTACACAGTACACACACACAGTACACACACACAGTACACACACACAGTACACACACACAGTACACACACACAGTACACACACACAGAACACACACACACAATACACACACACAGTACACACACACAGTACACACACAGTACACAAACACACAGTACACACACAGCACACACACACAGCACACACACACAGTACACACACACAGTACACACACAGTACACACAACTGGTCACCCTCCCTCTCACTCACCCTCTCACCCACTCACCCACTCACCCACTCACCCACCCACTCACCCACCCACCCACCCACTCACCCACCCACCCACTCACCCACCCACTCACCCACTCACCCACCCACTCACCCACTCACCCACCCACTCACCCACTCACCCACCCACTCACCCACTCACCCACCCACTCACCCACTCACCCACTCACCCACCCACCCACCCTCTCACCCACCCACCCACCCACCCACCCTCTCACCCACCCACCCACCCACCCTCTCACCCACCCACCCACCCTCTCACCCACTCACCCACCCACTCACCCACCCACTCATCCACTCACCCACCCACCCTCTTACCCACCCACCCTCTCACTCACCCACTCACCCACCCACCCTCTTACTCACTCTCTCACTCACTCACCCACCCTCTCACTCACTCACCCACCCTCTCACCCACTCACCCTCTCACTCACTCACCCACCCACCCACCCTCTCACTCACTCACCCACCCTCTCACCCACCCACCCTCTCACCCACTCACCCTCTCACCCACTCACCCTCTCACTCACCCACCCACCCTCTCACCCACCCTCTCACCCACTCACCCTCTCACTCACTCACCCACTCACCCACTCACCCACTCACTCACTCACTCACCCACTCACCCACCCACCCACTCACTCACTCACCCACCCTCTCACCCACTCACCCTCTCACCCACCCACCCTCTCACTCACCCACCCACCCTCTCACCCACCCTCTCACCCACTCACCCTCTCACTCACCCACCCACTCACTCACTCAACCACTCACCCACTCACCCACCCACCCACTCACCCACCCACTCACCCACCCACCCACCCACTCACACGGAGGTAGTTGAGAGTGAAGTTGGTGAGTCCCATCCGCGTGATATTCCTTGTCAGCTGCTCGGACTTCTGCGGCTCCTGGGACTGACGTGGAGGGAGGATTGGTGGTGATGGTGGTGGTGGTGATGGTGGTGGGGGTGGTGGTGATGATGGTGGTGATGGTGGTGGTGGTGGTGATGGTGGTGGGGGTGGTGGTGATGATGGTGGTGATGGTGGTGGTGGGGGTGGTGGTGGTGGTGGTGGGGGTGGTGGTGGTGATGGTGGTGGTGGGGGTGGTGGTGGTGGTGGTGGGGGTGGTGGTGGGGGTGGTGGTGGTGGTGGTGATGGTGATGATGGTGGTGATGGTGGTGGTGGGGGTGGTGGTGATGATGGTGGTGGTGGTGGTGATGGTGGTGGTGGGGGTGGTGGTGGTGGTGGTGGGGGTGGTGGTGATGATGGTGGTGGGGGTGGTGGTGGTGGTGGTGATGGTGGTGGTGGGGGTGGTGGTGGTGGTGGTGGGGGTGGTGGTGGGGGTGGTGGTGGTGGTGGTGATGGTGATGATGGTGGTGGGGGTGGTGGTGGTGATGGTGGTGGTGGGGGTGGTGGTGGTGGTGGTGGGGGTGGTGGTGGGGGTGGTGGTGGTGGTGGTGGGGGTGGTGGTGGGGGTGGTGGTGGTGGTGGTGATGGTGGTGGTGATGGTGGTGGGGGTGGTGGTGATGATGGTGGTGATGGTGGTGGTGGGGGTGGTGGTGGTGGGGGTGGTGGGGGTGGTGGTGGGGGTGGTGGTGGTGATGGTGGTGATGGTGGTGGTGATGGTGGTGGGGGTGGTGGTGATGGTGGTGGTGATGGTGGTGGTGGTGGGGGTGGTGGTGGTGGTGGTGGGGGTGGTGGTGGGGGTGGTGGTGGTGGTGGTGGGGGTGGTGGTGGTGGTGGTGATGGTAGTGGTGGTGGGGGTGGTGGTGGTGGTGGTGGGGGTGGTGGTGGGGGTGGTGGTGGTGGTGGTGATGGTGGTGGTGATGGTGGTGGGGGTGGTGGTGATGATGGTGGTGATGGTGGTGGTGGGGGTGGTGGTGGTGGTGGTGGGGGTGGTGGTGGGGGTGGTGGTGGTGGTGGTGGGGGTGGTGGTGGGGGTGGTGGTGGTGATGGTGGTGATGGTGGTGGTGATGGTGGTGGGGGTGGTGGTGATGGTGGTGGTGATGATGGTGGTGGGGGTGGTGGTGGTGGGGGTGGTGGGGGTGGTGGTGATGGTGGTGGTGATGGTGGTGATGGTGGTGGTGGTGGGGGTGGTGGTGGTGGTGGTAGTGGTGGTGGGGGTAGTGGTAGGGGTGGTGGTGGTGGTGGTGATGGGGGTGGTGGTGGTGGTGGTGGTGGGGGTGGTGGTGGTGGTGGTGGTGGGGGTGGTGGTGGTAGTGGTGGTGGTGGGGGTGGTGATGGTAGTGGTAGGGGTGGTGGTGGTGATGGTGGTGGGGGTGGTGATGGTGGTGGGGGTAGTGGTAGGGGTGGTGGTGGTGGTGGTGATGGGGGTGGTGGTGGTGGGGGTGGTGATGATGGTGGTGGTGGTGGTGGTGGGGGTGGTGGGGGTGGTGGTGGTAGTGGGGGTGGTGGTGGTGGGGGTGGTGATGGTGGTGGTGATGGTGGTGATGATGATGGTGGTGGTGGTAGTGGTGGTGGGGGTAGTGGTAGGGGTGGTGGTGGTGGTGGTGGAGGTGGGGGTGGTGGTGGTGGTGGTGGTGGTAGTGGTGGTGATGGTGGTGGTGCTGAGAGGTACCCACCCCCTCTGTGTGTGTGTCACAGTGCCGGTAGCCTTCATAGGCGCTGCTGCTAATCGCTACTAACAGCACTTGCCCCTACAGCCCTCCTAGAGGCTACCTGGGGGAGCTTTGTCTGTCTCAGCACTTGCCCCTACAGCCCTCCTAGAGGCTACCTGGTGGAGCTTTGTCTGCGTCTCAGCACTTGCCCCTACAGCCCTCCTAGAGGCTACCTGGGGGAGCTTTGTCTGCGTCTCAGCACTTGCCCCTACAGCCCTCCTAGAGGTTACCTGGGGGAGCTTTGTCTGTGTCTCAGCACTTGCCCCTACAGCCCTCCTAGAGGTTACCTGGGGGAGCTTTGTCTGTGTCTCAGCACTTGCCCCTACATCCCTGCCAGAGGCTACCTGGGGGAGCTTTGTCTGTGTCTCAGCACTTGCCCCTACAGCCCTCCTAGAGGCTACCTGGGGGAGCTTTGTCTGTGTCCCAGCACTTGCCCCTACAGCCCTCCTAGAGGCTACCTGGGGGAGCTTTGTCTGTGTCTCAGCACTTGCCCCTACAGCCCTGCTAGAGGCTACCTGGGGGAGCTTTGTCTGTGTCTCAGCACTTGCCCCTACATCCCTGCCAGAGGCTACCTGCGGGAGCTTTGTCTGTGTCTCAGCACTTGCCCCTACAGCCCTTCTAGAGGCTACCTGGGGGAGCTTTGTCTGTGTCTCAGCACTTTCCCCTACAGCCCTTCTAGAGGCTACCTGGGGGAGCTTTGTCTGTGTCTCAGCACTTGCCCCTACAGCCCTTCTAGAGGCTACCTGGGGGAGCTTTGTCTGTGTCTCAGCATTGCCCCTACAGACCTGCTAGAGGCTACCTGGGGGAGCTTTGTCTGTGTCTCAGCATTGCCCCTACAGCCTTGCTAGAGGCTACCTGGGGGAGCTTTGTCTGTGTCTCAGCACTTGCCCCTGCAGACCTGCTAGAGGCTACCTGGTAGTGTACAGTGGTCACTGTACTGGTGGTGGTAGTGGAGGTGGTCACTGTACTGGTAGTGGTGGTGGTGACTGTACTGGTGGTGGTAGTGGTGGTGGTGGTGACTGTAGTGGTAGTGGTGACTGTAATGGTGGTGGTAGTGGTGGTGGAGGCTGTACTGGTAATGGTAGTGGTGGTGACTGTACTGGTGGTGGTGACTGTACTGGTAGTGGTCACTGTAGTGGTAGTGGTGGTGACTGTACTGGTGGTGGTGGTGACTGTACTGGTAGTGGTAGTGGTGGTGACTGTAATGGTGGTGGTACTGGTAGTGGTGGTGACTGTACTGGTAGTGGTGACTGTACTGGTGACTGTACTGGTAGTGGTATTGGTGACTGTACTGGTGGTTGTACTGGTAGTGGTGGTGGTGACTGTACTGGTAGTGGTAGTGGTGGTGGTCACTGTACTGGTGGTGGTAGTGGTGGTGACTGTAATGGTGGTGGTACTGGTAGTGGTGGTGACTGTACTGGTAGTGGTGACTGTACTGGTGACTGTACTGGTAGTGGTATTGGTGACTGTACTGGTGGTTGTACTGGTAGTGGTGGTGGTGACTGTACTGGTAGTGGTAGTGGTGGTGGTCACTGTACTGGTGGTGGTAGTGGTGGTGGTTGTGGTTACTGTACTGGTAGTGGTAGTAGTGGTGGTGGTGACTGTACTGGTGGTTGTACTGGTGGTGGTGGTGACTGTACTGGTAGTGTTAGTGGTGGTGACTGTACTGGTGGTTGTTCTGGTAGTGTTAGTGGTGGTGACTGTACTGGTGGTTGTACTGGTGGTAGTGGTGGTGGTGACTGTACTGGTAGTGGTCACTGTACTGGTAGTGGTGGTGGTGACTGTACTGGTGGTTGTACTGATGGTGGTGGTGGCTGTACTGGTAGTGGTGGTGGTGACTGTACTGGTAGTGGTAGTGGTGGTGACTGTACTGGTGGTGGTAGTGGTGGTGACTGTACTGGTGGTTGTACTGGTGGTGGTGGTGGTAGTCGTGGTGACTGTACTGGTGGTTGTACTAGTGGTGGTAGTGGTGGTGACTGTACTGGTAGTGGTGACTGTACTGGTAGTGGTTGTGGTCACTGTACTGGTAGTGGTGGTGACTGTACTGGTGGTGGTGGTGGTGGCTGTACTGGTGGTGGTGAGTGTACTGGTGGTGGTGGTGACTGTACTGGTGGTTGTACTAGTGGTGGTGGTGGTGGTGACTGTACTGGTAGTGGTCACTGTACTGGTAGTGGTGGTGACTGTACTGGTGGTGGTGGTGACTGTACTGGTAGTGGTGGTAGTGGTGGTGACTGTACTGGTGACTGTACTGGTAGTGGTGGTGACTGTACTGGTGGTTGTACTGGTGGTGGTGGTGGTGACTGTACTGGTAGTGGTGGTAGTGGTGGTGACTGTACTGGTGACTGTACTGGTAGTGGTGGTGACTGTACTGGTGACTGTACTGGTGGTGGTGGTGGTGACTGTACTGGTGGTTGTACTGGTGGTAGTGGTGGTGACTGTACTGGTAATGGTAGTGGTGGTGACTGTACTGGTGGTGGTGGTGGTGGTAGTGGTGGTGACTGTACTGGTAGTGGTGGTGACTGTACTGGTGACTGTACTGGTGGTTACTGTACTGGTGGTAGTGGTGGTGACTGTACTGGTGGTGGTGGTGGTGGCTGTGCACGGCACGCTGAGCACTCACAGCGATGGCGGTGACGCTGCGAGGGATGAACTCGCGATGTTGCCGGATGGAGAACTGCCACGAGCGGATACGCATCAAGTCATCAAAGGCAAACTCCAGCACCAGGCGACCCTCGGTGTACACCTGGCCAGCAGCGGAGAGAGCACGGTGAGCGTGGCACTACGCGGTGGGGTCGTGTGGGCGGTGCGGTACGGGGTGGCGTGGGTGAGTGAGGGAGTGGGTGAGTGAGTGGGTGACTGAGTGAGTGACTGAGTGAGTGGGTGAGTGAGTGAGTGACTGAGTGAGTGGGTGAGTGAGTGACTGAGTGACTGAGTGAGTGACTGAGTGAGTGGATGAGTGAGTGACTGAGTGGGTGAGTGACTGAGTGAGTGGGTGAGTGAGTGACTGAGTGAGTGACTGAGTGAGTGGGTGAGTGAGTGACTGAGTGGGTGAGTGACTGAGTGAGTGACTGAGTGAGTGGGTGAGTGACTGAGTGGGTGAGTGACTGAGTGAGTGACTGAGTGAGTGGGTGAGTGGGTGAGTGACTGAGTGACTGAGTGAGTGGGTGAGTGAGTGACTGAGTGAGTGGGTGAGTGAGTGAGTGGGTGAGTGACTGAGTGAGTGACTGAGTGAGTGGGTGGGTGAGTGACTGAGTGAGTGACTGAGTGAGTGGGTGAGTGAGTGACTGAGTGGGTGAGTGACTGAGTGAGTGACTGAGTGAGTGGGTGAGTGAGTGACTGAGTGATTGGATGAGTGAGTGACTGAGTGGGTGGGTGAGTGACTGAGTGAGTGACTGAGTGAGTGGGTGAGTGAGTGACTGAGTGGGTGAGTGACTGAGTGAGTAACTGAGTGAGTGGGTGAGTGACTGAGTGATTGGATGAGTGAGTGACTGAGTGGGTGGGTGAGTGACTGAGTGAGTGACTGAGTGAGTGAGTGGGTGAGTGAGTGACTAAGTGGGTGGGTGAGTGACTGAGTGGGTGGGTGAGTGACTGAGTGAGTGACTGAGTGAGTGGGTGAGTGAGTGAGTAACTGAGTGAGTGAGTAACTGAGTGGGTGAGTGAGTGACTGAGTGAGTGGGTGAGTGAGTGACTGAGTGGGTGAGTGACTGAGTGAGTGACTGAGTGAGTGGGTGAGTGACTGAGTGGGTGAGTGACTGAGTGAGTGACTGAGTGAGTGGGTGAGTGAGTGACTGAGTGGGTGAGTGACTGAGTGACTGAGTGAGTGGGTGAGTGAGTGGGTGAGTGAGTGACTGAGTGGGTGGGTGAGTGACTGAGTGAGTGACTGCGTGAGTGGGTGAGTGAGTGACTGAGTGGGTGAGTGACTGAGTGAGTGACTGAGTGAGTGGGTGAGTGACTGAGTGGGTGAGTGACTGAGGGAGTGACTGAGTCAGTGGGTGAGTGAGTGACTGAGTGGGTGAGTGACTGAGTGAGTGACTGAGTGAGTGGATGAGTGAGTGACTGAGTGAGTGGGTGAGTGAATGAGTGAGTGACTGCGTGAGTGGGTGAGTGAGTGACTGAGTGGGTGAGTGACTGAGTGACTGAGCGAGTGACTGAGTGAGTGACTGAGTGACTGAGTGGGTGAGTGAGTGGGTGAGTGAGAGACCGGGTGAGTGAGTGAGTGAGGAAGTGACTGAGCGAGTGACTGAGCGACTGAGTGAGTGACTAAGTGAGTGACTGAGTGGGTAAGTGAGTGACTGCGTGAGTGACTGAGTGGGTAAGTGAGTGACTGAGTGGGTGAGTGACTGAGTGAGTGACTAAGCGACTGAGTGACTGAGTGAGTGGGTGAGTGACAGAGTGAGTGAGTGACAGAGTGAGTGACTGACTGAGTGACTGACTGAGTGACTGAGTGAGTGTATGAGTGACTGAGTGACTGACTGAGTGACTGAGTGACTGAGTGACTGACTGAGTGACTGAGTGACTGACTGAGTGACTAGCCGGGCGACTGACCTGTGGGAAGAAGGGCTTGCCGTGCTGGGCGACGAGAGTGGCGAGTGACTGAGTGACTGACTGAGTGACTGACTGAGTGACTGACTGATTCACTTACTGAGTGACTGACTGAGTGACTGACTGACTGACTGAGTGACTAGCCGGGCGACTGACCTGTGGGAAGAAGGGCTTGCCGTGCTGGGCGACGAGAGTGGCGTGTGACTGAGTGACTGACTGAGTGACTGAGTGAATGACTGAGTGACTGAGTGAATGTATGAGTGACTGAGTGAGTGTATGAGTGACTGAGTGACTGAGTGACTGAGTGACTGACTGAGTGACTGACTGATTCACTGACTGAGTGACTGACTGAGTGACTGACTGACTGAGTGACTGAGTGAATGTATGAGTGACTGAGTGAGTGTATGAGTGACTGAGTGACTGAGCGACTGATTCACTGACTGACTGACTGAGTGACTGATTGACTCAGTGAGCGACTGACCTGTGGGAAGAAGGGCTTGCCGTGCTGGGCGACGAGAGTGGTGAGTGAGTGACTGAGTGACTGACTGAGTGACTGACTGAGTGACTGACTGACTGACTGACTGAGTGACTGAGTGACTGACCTGTGGGAAGAAGGGCTTGCCGTGCTGGGCGACGAGCGTGGCGAGTGACTGAGTGACTGAGTGAGTGACTGAGTGACTGACTGAGTGACTGACTGACTGAGTGACTGACTGAGTGACTGACTCAGTGAGCGACTGACCTGTGGGAAGAAGGGCTTGCCGTGCTGGGCGACCAGAGTGGCGTGTGACTGAGTGACTGAATGAGTGACTGAGTGAATGACTGACTGATTCACTGACTGAGTGACTGACTGAGTGACTGACTGACTGACTGAGTGACTGAGTGAATGTATGAGTGACTGAGTGAGTGTATGAGTGTATGAGTGACTGAGTGACTGAGTGACTGACTGAGTGACTGACTGAGTCACTGACTGAGTGACTGAGTGACTGACTGAGTGACTGACTGAGTGACTAGCCGGGCGACTGACCTGTGGGAAGAAGGGCTTGCCGTGCTGGGCGACGAGAGTGGCGAGTGACTGAGTGAGTGACTGAGTGACTGAGTGAATGACTGATTCACTGACTGAGTCACTGACTGAGTGACTGAGTGACTGACTGACTGAGTGACTAGCCGGGCGACTGACCTGTGGGAAGAAGGGCTTGCCGTGCTGGGCGACCAGAGTGGCGAGTGACTGAGTGAGTGACTGACTGAGTGACTGAGTGACTGACTGAGTCACTGAGCGACTGACTGAGTGACTGACTGAGTGACTGAGTGACTGACTGAGTGACTGAGTGAGTGACTGAGTGACTGACTGAGTGACTGAGTGACTGACTGAGTGACTAGCCGGGCGACTGACCTGTGGGAAGAAGGGCTTGCCGTGCTGGGCGACCAGAGTGGCGTGTTCACAGTCCAGGATGACTCCCGCGCCGTGGAAGGCCTCCTTGGGGTGACGCAGAGCGAACTGGACGTCCGTCACGCCCCCATCAAACATCGCGCGGAAGTAGCGCGGGATGAGAGTCCGCCCAATCGCTGGTGACAAACACAGCGGGAGGGAGGGTGGGTGGGTGAGTGGGTGGGTGGGTGAGTGAGTGAGTGGGAGGGTGAGTGGGTGAGTAGGTGGGTGAGTGGGTGAGTGGGTGAGTGAGTGGGTGAGTGGGTGGGAGGGTGAGTGGGTGGGTGGGTGGGTGAGAGGGTGAGTGCGTGGGAGGGTGAGTGGGTGGGTGGGTGGGTGAGTGAGTGGGTGAGTGGGTGAGTGGGTGGGTGAGTGGGTGGGTGAGTGGGTGGGTGGGTGAGTGGGTGAGTGGGTGGGTGAGTGGGTGGGTGAGTGGGTGGGTGGGTGGGTGAGTGGGTGGGTGGGTGAGTGGGTGGGTGGGTGGGAGGGTGGGTGGGTGAGTGAGTGGGTGGGTAGGTGAGTGGGTGGGTGAGTGAGTGGGTGGGTAGGTGAGTGGGTGGGTGAGTGAGTGGGTGAGTGAGTGGGTGGGTGGGTGAGTGGGTAAGTGAGTGGGTGATTGAGTGAGTGAGTGGGTGGGTGAGTGAGTGAGTGGGTGGGTGAGAGGGTGGGTGAGTGAGTGGGTGAGTGAGTGAGTGGGTGGGTGGGTGGGTGAGTGAGTGAGTGAGTGGGTGGGTGGGTGAGTGAGTGAGTGGGTGGGTGGGTGAGTGGGTGAGTGAGTGAGTGGGTGAGTGGGTGGGTGAGTGAGTGAGTGGGTGGGTGGGTGAGTGGGTGAGTAGGTGAGTGAGTGAGTGGGTGAGTGGGTGGGTGAGTGAGTGAGTGAGTGGGTGGGTGGGTGAGTGGGTGGGTGAGTGAGTGAGTGGGTGGGTGGGTGAGTGGGTGAGTGGGTGAGTGAGTAAGTGGGTTCTGAGTGGGTGAGTGGGTGAGTGGGTGGGTGGGTGGGTGAGTGGGTGAGTGGGTGAGTGGGTGAGTGGGTGGGTGGGTGGGAGGGTGGGTGGATGAGTGGGTGGGAGGCTGGGTGGATGAGTGGGCGGGTGAGTGGGTGGGTGAGTGGGTGGGTGAGTGAGTGGGTGGGTGGGTGGGTGAGTGAGTGGGTGAGTGGGTGGGTGAGTGGGTGGGTGGGCGAGTGGGTGGGTGAGTGGGAGGGAGGGTTGGTGAGTGAGTGGGTGAGTGAGTGGGTGGGTGAGTGGGTGAGTGAGTGGGTGAGTGAGTGAGTGGGTGGGTGAGTGAGTGGGTGAGTGAGTGGGTGAGTGGGTGGGTGAGTGAGTGGGTGGGTGAGGGGGTGGGTGAGTGAGTGGGTGAGTGGGTGAGTGAGTGAGGGGGTGAGGGGGTGGGTGAGTGAGTGAGTGGGTGGGTGGGTGGGTGAGTGGGTGGGTGGGTGAGTGAGTGGGTGAGTGGGTGGGTGAGTGAGTGGGTGAGTGAGTGGGTGAGTGAGTGAGTGGGTGAGTGAGTGGGTGGGTGAGTGAGTGGGTGGGTGGGTGGGAGGGTGGGTAGGTGGGTGAGTGAGTGGGTGGGTGGGTGGGTGAGTGAGTGGGTGGGTGAGAGGGTGGGTGAGAGGGTGAGTGAGTGGGTGAGAGGGTGAGTGAGTGGGAGGGTGGGTGAGTGGGTGGGAGGGTGAGTGGGAGGGTGGGTGAGTGGGTGAGTGAGTGGGAGGGTGAGTGAGTGGGTGGGTGGGTGAGTGGGTGGGTGGGTGAGTGGGTGAGAGGGTGGGTGGGTGAGTGGGTGGGTAGGTGGGTGGGTGAGTGAGTGGGTGAGTGAGTGAGTGGGTGGGTGAGAGGGTGAGTGGGTGGGTGAGTGGGTGGGTGGGAGGGTGGGGGGGTGAGTGGGTGGGTGGGTGAGTGAGTGGGTGGGTGAGTGGGTGAGTGGGTGGGTGAGTGAGTGGGTGGGTGAGAGGGTGAGTGGGTGGGTGAGTGGGTGGGTGGGTGAGTGGGAGGGTGGGTGGGTGGGTGAGTGGGTGAGTGAGTGGGTGGGTGGGTGGGTGAGTGGGTGGGTGAGTGGGTAAGTGGGTGGGTGGGTGGGTGGGTGAGTGGGTAAGTGGGTGGGTGAGTGAGTGGGAGGGTGGGTGGGTGGGTGGGAGGGTGGGTGGGTGGGAGGGTGGGTGGGTGGGTGAGTGGGTAAGTGGGTGGGTGAGTGAGTGGGAGGGTGGGTGGGTGGGTGAGTGAGTGGCTGGGTGAGTGGGTGGGTGGGTGGGTGAGTGAGTGGGAGGGTGGGTGGGTGGGTGAGTGAGTGGGAGGGTGGGTGGGTGGGTGAGTGAGTGAGTGGCTGGGTGAGTGGGTGGGTGGGTGCCATTGATACGACCCTGCCCACACAGAACCTACTTTAACTCACTCACCCTCTCACTCACTCACTCACCCTCTCACTCACCCTCTCACCCACTCACTCACTCACCCTCTCACTCACCCTCTCACTCACCCACTCACCCACTCACCCTCTCACTCACTCACCCACTCACCCACCCACCACCCTCTCACCCACCCACCCACCCACCCACTCACCCACCCACCCACTCACCCACCCACCCACTCACCCACCCACCCACTCACCCACCCACCCACTCACCCACCCACCCACCCACCACCCTCTCACCCTCTCACCCTCTCACCCACTCACTCACCCTCTCACTCAACCACTCACGCACTCACCCACCCACTCACCCACCCACTCACCCACCCACTCACCCACCCACCCACCCACTCACCCACCCACCCACTCACCCACCCACTCACCCACTCACCCTCTCACTCACCCTCTCACTCACCCACTCACTCACCCACCCACCCACCCACTCACCCACCCACCCACCCACTCACCCTCTCACCCACTCACCCACTCACTCACCCTCTCACCCACTCACCCACTCACTCACCCTCTCACTCACTCACCCTCTCACCCACTCACCCTCTCACCCACTCACTCACCCTCTCACCCACTCACCCACTCACTCACCCTCTCACTCACCCACCCACCCACCCACTCACTCACCCACCCACTCACCCACCCTCTCACCCCCCCCCCCCTCACTGTATCTCTTGGGTCCGTCCTCCAGGCAGAAGGAGACGCTGAGGGTGGCGTCGTCCTCAAAGAACTCCGTGACAAACGCATCCCACCACACGTTGTCACTCTCCTACGTAGACACACACACACACAGACACACACACACACAGACACACACACACACAGACACACACACACAGACACACACACAGACACACACACACAGACACACACACAGACACACACACAGACACACACACACACAGACACACACACACACAGACACACACACACAGACACACACACAGACACACACACACAGACACACACACAGACACACACACACACAGACACACACACACACAGACACACACACACACAGACACACACACACAGACACACACACACACAGACACACACACACACAGACACACACACACAGACACACACACAGACACACACACACAGACACACACACAGACACACACACACAGACACACACACACACAGACACAGAGACACACAGACACACAGAGACACACACACACACAGACACACAGAGACACACACACACACAGTGACACACAGACACACAGACACACACACAGACACACACACACACACACAGACACACACACAGACACACACACACAGACACAGACACACACACAGACACACACACACACACAGACACACACACACAGACACACACACACAGACACACACACACACAGACACACAGACACACACAGAGACACACACACACAGACACACACAGACACACACACAGAGACACACACACAGTGACACACACACACAGACATACACACAGACACACACACACAGACACACAGACACACACACAGAGACACACACACACACAGACAGACACACACACACACACAGAGACACACAGTGACACACACACAGAGACACACACACACACACAAAGAGACACACACACAGAGACACACACACACACAGAGACACACACACAGAGACAAACACAGACACACACACACAGTTAGACACACACACACAGTCTGTCTCTCTGCGTGTCTCTGCGTGTCTCTCTGCGTGTCTCTCTGCGTGTCTCTGCGCGTCTCTGCGTGTCTCTGTGTGTGTTTGTGTGTCTCTCTGTGTCTCTGTGTGTCTATGTGTATCTGCGCGTGTCTCTGTGTGTCTCTGTGTGTCTGTGTGTATCTGCGTGTATCTCTGTGTGTGTCTCTCTGTGTGTCTGTGTGTATCTGCGTGTCTCTCTGTGTGTGTCTCTCTGTGTGTGTCTCTCTGTGTCTCTGTGTGTCTGTGTCTCTCTGCGTGTCTCCGCATGTCTCTCTGTGTGTGTCTCTCTGTGTCTCTGTCTCTCTGTGTGTCTGTGTGTCTGTGTCTCTCTGTGTGTGTCTCTCTGTGTCTCTGTGTCTGTGTGTCTCTCTGCGTGTCTCTCTGTGTGTGTCTCTCTGTGTCTCTGTGTCTCTCTGCGTGTCTCTCTGTGTGTGTCTCTCTGTGTCTCTGTGTGTCTGTGTGTATCTGCACGTGTATCTCTGTGTGTGTCTCTCTGTGTCTCTGTGTGTCTGTGTGTATCTGCGCGTGTCTCTCTGTGTGTGTCTCTCTGTGTCTCTGTGTGTCTGTGTGTATCTGCGTGTCTCTCTGTGTGTGTCTCTCTGTGTCTCTGTGTGTCTGTGTGTATCTGCGTGTCTCTCTGTGTGTGTCTCTCTGTGTCTCTGTGTGTGTCTGTGTGTATCTCTGTGTGTCTCTGCGTGTCTCTGTGTGTCTCTGCGTGTCTCTGTGTGTATCTGCGTGTCTCTCTGTGTGCGTCTCTCTGTGTGCGTCTCTCTCTGTCTCTGTGTCTGTGTGTCTCTGTGTGTATCTGCGTGTATCTGCGTGTCTCTGTGTCTCTGAGTGTCTGTGTGTATCTGCGCGTGTCTCTCTGTGTGTCTCTGTGTCTCTCTGCGTGTCTCCGCGTGTGTCTCTGTGTGTGTCTCTCTGTGTGTGTCTCTCTGTGTGTCTGTGTGTCTCTGTGTGTCTGTGCTCTGTGTGTGTCTCTCTGTGTGTCTGTGTCTCTCTGTGTGTCTGTGTGTCTGTGTCTCTCTGTGTCTCTGTGTGTCTGTGTCTCTCTGCGTGTCTCTCTCTGTGTCTCTGTGTCTGTGTCTCTCTGTGTGTGTCTCTCTGTCTCTCTGTGTCTCTGTGTGTCTCTGTGTGTCTCTCTGTGTGTGTCTCTCTGTGTGTGTCTCTCTCTGTGTCTCTGTCTCTCTCTGTGTCTCTCTCTGTCTCTCTGTGTCTGTGTCTCTCTGCGTGTCTCTGCGTGTGTCTCTCTGTGTCTCTGTGTGTCTGTGTCTCTCTGCGTGTCTCTCTGTGTCTCTCTGTGTCTCTGTGTGTCTCTCTGTGTCTCTGTGTGTCTGTGTCTCTGTGTCTGTGTCTCTCTGTGTGTGTCTCTCTGTGTCTCTCTGTGTGTCTCTCTGTGTCTGTGTCTCTCTGCGTGTCTCTGTGCGTGTCTCTGTGCGTGTCTCCGTACCTCTGTGCGTGACTGAAGGCGCTTGTTGAGCTCGTAAATGCGGTAGTCGGGAGGGATGAGGTAGGGCGTGTGACGTCTGCCTCGGAGGAGACACGGAAACACCGTCACCATCACCACCGTCACCGTCACCATCACCACCAACATCGTCACCATCACCACCACCACCAACATCACCATCACCACCATCACCGTCACCACCACCACCAACATCACCATCACCACCATCACCGTCACCACCACCACCAACATCACCGTCACCACCACCACCACCAACATCACCGTCACCATCACCACCACCACCGTCACCGTCACCATCACCACCACCATCACCGTCACCACCAACATCATCGTCACCATCACCACCACCAACATCACCATCACCACCACCAACATCACCGTCACCACCAACATCATCACCACCACCATCACCGTCACCACCACCATCGTCACCACCACCACCAACATCACCGTCACCATCACCACCAACATCACCGTCACCATCACCACCACCACCACCACCAACATCACCGTCACCATCACCATCGTCACCACCACCACCAACATCATCACCAACATCACCGTCACCATCACCACCACCAACATCACCGTCACCACCACCACCACCAACATCACCGTCACCACCAACATCACCGTCACCATCACCACCAACAACATCATCACCACCACCACCAACATCACCGTCACCACCAACATCATCAACACAACCACCAACATCATCAACACCACCACCACCACCACCGTCACCACCACCATCATCGTCACCACCACCACCGTCACCACCACCACCACCGTCACCACCACCATCACCACCACCACCACCACCAACATCATCATCACTTTCACCACCATCACCACCAACATCATCACCATCACCACCGTCACCATCACCACCAACATCATCACCACCACCACCACCACCAAAATCACCGTCACCACCACCACCGTCACCATCATCACTTTCACCACCACCAACATCATCACCACCACCACCATCACCACCAACATCATCATCACCACCACCATCACCACCAACATCATCATCACCACCACCGTCACCACCAACATCATCACCACCACCAACATCACAGTCACCAACATCATCAACACTTTCACCACCACCACCAACATCATCACCACCACTAACATCATCACCGTCACCACCAACATCACCGTCACCACCACCACCATCACCGTCACCACCACCACCGTCACCATCACCGTCACCACCACCACCACCAACATCATCACTTTCACCACCACCACCGTCACCATCATCACTTTCACCACCACCATCATCATCATCACCACCACCAACATCACCGTCACCACCACCACCGTCACCACCACCAACATCATCACTTTCACCACCACCAACATCACCGTCACCACCACCACTAACATCATCATCAACACCACCACCATCACCGTCACCACAACCAACACCACCACCAACATCATCAA